GAGCTACGGTTCTGCTCTCCGAACCGCGATGAGTGATTGTAGCCATTGAGGGCCGGTAGGACGGATCGAACGACCGTTCCTCTATGAGCTCTCTTTGCCAAGGCGACGCAACTTGGCGGCGATCAACCTCTATCATCTCCTCTCGGTTGAACCTTTCCCGATGCGGATCAAAGGTCATGGCTTCGTTCTGTCTGATCTGCTCATGTCGCGGATCAACGTGAGTCGATCCTTCGTGATCCTCAACTCGACGAGCATTTGGCGGCAAATCATCCATCCTCCTTTCATCACGGTGGAGAGCTGACTGATTGTTCTCGTCCTGCTCGCCTTGATGCGCGATATTAGATTGAACACCTCCTTCACCGGCCGGAAGTGGACGCGAAACCGCGGGTATTTGCTGATGTTGCATTCCAGTTTTCAATTCTGCATTCTCTTTTTTGAGAGCCTCGATCAAGTTCATCAACTCCTCAAGCTTCGTTTGCTGGACAGCCTCCATCGGATTGGAGCTTTCACCTATCATTATTCCTGAACGGAGTAAAGGCATTAATCTCAAGTTCGTGAGTAGATCCGAGCTTCGTGAGTGGGAATTTTTCAGATCTGGTTTCGAATTCTCCGAATTATGCTCACGGTTGACGAGATCTGAATTATCCGAATTCTAAATCCGTCAGATCCTGCCACAATCGAACAACTCGTTGTTGCGTAGATCTGAAGCCACTTCTGCCAAAGCAACAGGAACTAAAATTCCTCCAGAGTAGGTCACAATCACTCAGATCTGGATCCAACTCCCAAAGATCGAGTTTCGTTCCCTCGGATTGGTCTGAATCCACGCGATATTAATCAATGATCAATCAATCTTCCACGATTCCCACAGACGGCGCCAATTGAAGATACAAGAAATTCCTCCTCTCTTTCTCTCTCTAGAACTCTTGCATTTCAACCCCCAAAAAATATCTCCCCCTACTCTATTCATTACTTCTCCTATTTATAGATATTTACAAATGTCGATGGACTGCTGGATCTAGGCCCGTTCCTCTATGAGTTCTGGTCATCTTTGATGGGCTAATTCGCGTTCGGCCCATATGGCAGTGTCTTTCTATGGGCCTGACCCATCTGTACGGACCAGATGTCGCGTTTGCAAGTCATATCCGGCCCATGCCACTTCGGGCCTCCTCAATTACCATTGGATTTTATTGCAATACAGTGGCTCATATTGTGTATTAGTTTTATGGGCATTAACAAGGTAGGCTTGAAACATAAGTAACTTTGGCTAATCTTATATGGGCTAGAATCCTGAGTATAAGAGTAGAAACACAATGGGCTTGTTATACGAGATTGTTCACGAGCCGAGCTTAGCATTGTTCAAGCTCGGCTCATTTATCAAACAAGCCTAAAAAAAATATATTCAAGCTAGGCAACGAATGAGTCCGAACCAAGCTTTTAACGAGCCGAGCCTGAGCTGTTCATGAACAAATTTGTTCGTTTGCAGCCCTACTCATTGTAGATAAAATGAGAAAAAAATTGATTTAGATGGTTTGGATATCTTGGGGATAAGCCTCCAAGATATTATTTATCTATAAATTTTTTCTTCATTTAGTAAAAAAAAGAAAGAAAAAGAGATGGTTTGGATATGTGAAAGGAAAATCACTAAATGCACCAGTTAGTAAGAGTGACGTGGTCCATATTGAGGGTAATGTTATTGGGAGGGAAAGACCGAAATTAACGTTGATCTAGTTAGTAAGGAAATATGGTAACATTAGTTTGATTGATACTATGATCTTTGATAAAGCAGAATGAAAAAAATAGGATTCATGTAGCAGACAATAAGTAGTTGGGAAAAGGCTTGCTGAGTTAAGTGAGTTGAGTTTATAGGCCTCTTGGATGTTTAATGCAAATGGTAGCATTCACTATGTGCTGGATGGCATTTGAACCAAAATCACTATTTTCTGCATTGCAATTGAGCAGAAATCATGTTGTTTCTTGTAGCGTTGTAATGTCATCGGATATATTGCTAGTATGAGGTTCTCTAGTAGGATGAATTAATGAAATCAAGCTGTTTTCAATTTTTACTTTTGTTTGTTGCTATTCATCCACTGGTCCATATACTGTGAATCTGTGATGATAATCGCATAGGATGTATTTGGTCCTTTTTAATACTATGGAAGACATAATGGAACAATTCCATATCTTGATCATCCTGGGATGTGCATTTTTCGAGGCATTTTCAAGATTGGGAGATTGAGGAAGTAGTTGGTTTTCAGGAGTTGCTGTATCATCAAGAGATTGTGAGTGGAGTCCCTGATTCTATGGTATGGGTCCCCTCTTCTAGTGGTCATTTTGAGGTTCGCTCATTCTTTAGATGTCTTATGATTTCTCCAGGAGATGCATTCCCGTGGAGGACTATTTGGCGTTATAAGACCCCCCTCAAGGTGGCTTTCTTTGTTTGGACATCTGTGTTGGGAAAGATATTGACCCAGGATAACCTTAATGCTTTGTTCGGTAGGAAGGAAGGAAGAGGGGTGGAAGGAAAATAGGAGGGAAGGAACAAAATTCCTTCGTTCGGTAGGAAAGAGACACGGAGAGAAAGGATAATACGAGGGATGGTTTATCCCTCCTTCTTTACACATTTTCATCCGCCCAATTTTGGGCGGAAGACACGAGAGAAAACAAGTGGAGTTATTATAAAAATACTAAATTACATTATTATCCTTCCCAAATATTAAAAAATAAATCCTACACATCTCGTCTCACGTAAAACCCCTATCAAGAAGAACTCACCTTCACATTAAACTCTATCAAACGCTCTCTCCAGCGATCTCTCTCACACCGGTAAGAAGCTCTCTCTTGCTCTTTCTCGGTCTGTACATATACATAGATTGACAGTATTTACAAATAGATTTGTTTCATGTGTTATCTATATATATATATATATATATATATATTGCTATTGACGCAAGGTTGGGTTTCGCTCATGACTCAATTCTTCAACCAAGTTCTCATCTGACCTTCCCGGAATCAATACTGCTTACCAGGCCATTGATAACAAAATGGATTGATAGGCCTCTTTGGAAGGGATCTGTTAAATGAATTTTTGGTAGTTTATGGTTGTTGAGTAAGCAACTATTGATAGGAATGTTATAACAAAAAAAAAAAAAAAAAAAAAAACCATTGATAGGAATGATCTTCCTCTGGGGCTTGATGGAAGTTCTTATCGTATTATAAATTGACAATCATCAGCTGTATTTGTTTCAATAAATTTCGAGTAACTACTTTAATTTATCCAAAATGATAACTGATAGTTGTCTGCTTAAAGAGAAATGATTGTGTAAATCTATTTCCAAAGTATGAAAAATCATGTGTTGAAGAAGAAGTTAAATACAATGCATAGGGCCGAAAATAAGAATTTTAGTTTGACATGACTCTACAGGGATAATGGTCTTTGGAATGCAATATTTTATTTTTTTGTTTAATATTTATCAACTAAGTATGTAGATAGTGGGGTATTTTTTTATTTCTTATTATTCATGATGAAATATGATTATATATACATATAAAAAAATAAAGCAAACAACAAATTAGAGTGAAATTAATGATACTTTTCAAATGAGGCCATTTACCGGGAAAAAAAATAATGAAGGGTATAATGGTAAAAATAATTTTAAATTCTCTCTTCCTTTCTCTCCTAACGAACAAAGGAATTTGGTAGGTTTTTCTCTTCTCTTCCATCCAATCGAACAAAATGAGGGAAGTTCATAATCTCTTCCCTAGGGGTATCTCATCCTTCCTTTCTTCTCTTCCTTCCATCCAATTTTCTTCATTCCTACCGAACAGAGCCTAAGAGGAGGAGACAAGTTGTGGTCAACTGTTGTTGTATGTGCAAGAGAGACGAGGAAATGATAAATCGTCTTCCTTTACATTGCCCTGTGGCTCGGGATTGTTGGGCTTTGATGTTTGGTTTGTTTGGAGTTCAGTGGGTCTTGATTGAGGTCTGGAGAGGCTGTTTAGTGGGGGCTCATGTTTGTGATTTCTGGAGGATCATGCCTTTGTGCGTCTGGTGGTGTTTATGGCTTGAACGAAATGGGAAGGAGACTTCTATTGGTGTGCTAAAATTCTCCATTATTAGCTCTATTTTTGTTGGGTGCTTGGGAGAAATTGTAAATCCTCTAATGAGATAGTGGACTTTATTGACTCTTTGAGAGATTAGAGGCCCTATTTGGTCTTGTGTAGCTTTTGAGGGATGCGTACTCCTTTTGAACGCTTCCTTATATACAATCTTACTTATAAAACAAAAAATAAAATCCCTTTATTGAGTTGGATTTATATTTTGTTGTTTAAAGAAATATTTTTCTATCATAATCAAGATGGTGATATTGTGGTATATATGTTTGTGTGTGTGTGTGTGTCCCCATGTGTGCTTTTTTTATTTTTATTATTATTGTTACTATTATTATTATTTGTTAGCAGAATGATGTTGCCAGTGGGAAAGATTGGTTGGATGCTTGGATGTATTTCTTCATGATTTCTGTTCAGTATGTATGTTTGTGTGTATTGGGAGGAGGGGTGAATGTCCAGAAGAATTTTCTGTACATATTGTGCAAGTGCGGTACTACAAGGCCTATCATTTAATTTTTCCCCATTTCTTTCTCCAACTGTGGCTGCTTTGTATAATATTTTTGAAACCTGGTTTGTTTATCACAATTTTGAGGACCTGTAACTGTTTGCTAATTAGTCAAGATTGATTTACAAATTTTTCAGCACTCCGTTCCATACTCTTCTATTATTATCTAGTTTTACTTTGTTGTATTATCCTCCATTTTAAGGTTCATATATAACTGTTGAAATTCTATATGCATTCTGACTATTTTTTCAGTGTATGTGCTAAAAACTACTTACCTGTGTGCTTTCTTATGGTCTTCTGTTGGACATGGCTCTTTTTTTTTTTTTTTTTTTGGGTTTTTTATAGCGGTATATTTACTTCATGTTGGCTTTGCAATGTGTCTGTTTAGCTGTTTGCAGATCTAAGGTGTTCTCCATCATGCACCCGTGCTGGCATGCATGGTACTGTGGCGATATGTCCTCCTGATTGTTTCCAGTACAAGGGAACACTTGATGTCTTTTACAAAATTATTCGACAGGTTTGTGGATTTATGTAGCCATTTTTGGGCAGATTAATATATTTATTTCTTATGTCAGAAGTTTCAGATCCATCCGATACAACTGTTTGGTGCAACCTTGTGGGCATTATGTTTATATACGTATTTATAGCTATACATATATATATGCTATTAAATTATTGATCTTTCTGTCCTGCATCCACTTCAACATTTCACAAATGTTAAACAGCGTTTGACTTTTTGCAGGAAGGATTTGGAAGGCTATGGAGAGGCACCAATGCAGCTCTAGCACTCGCTGTACCAACTGTATGCTCCTTGTTGAGTCATTGTCCACTCCTTTGTATTGGAAGAATGCATTATTAGGATTTAGTTGGATGTGCATGATTTGACCATTTTTGTTGTGAACTTATATTATTGGTCTATCTTGTTTTCTAAGCAGGTGGGGATCTACCTTCCATGCTATGACATTTTCCGCAACTGGTTAGAGGAATTCACAGCCCAAAATGCTCCTGGCATGACACCCTATACCCCTCTAGTAGCAGGTTCATTGGCACGCTCATTAGCTTGTACAACCTGCTACCCTATTGAACTTGCTAGAACCCGCATGCAGGTATTTCTTATATTGATTTATTATTATTATTATTATTATTATCATCATCATCATCATCTCACCATGAGAACTGGAAATGGAAAATTTGTTCGACATAATTCAAAGATCTGTCTTAAGATGCTTAAGAAGGCACTGGTCAGTGCATTTATGCATCTCTTCAGACAAATTTTCTTTCTTTATGGGGATTTTGGAAGGCGAGGTTGCTTATTTCAATCTTGGATTGCCTTAATTTAATCAAGTAAAAAATAAAAAAATAAAGCTGTGATACTAAAAATAACAAACTAAAAATGTCCTCACTTTAATTATTTTCCTTTATGTTGTTCTCATTGTTTGTGCCTCGTGGCTATGCTGCAAGCTTAATTAATTACAAATGTTTTTCAAGAATTAAGCTATTCCATATATTATCAGACATTCCTCTTTTTCACAAATGATTTGATTTCAGACTGTTTCTAGAGGCAGCTTCTAGACAGGGGCGGAGGGAGAGAGGGCTGGGGTGGGGGATTAAAATTTTAAAAAATTGTTCATGTACTCCTTAAAATATTTATTTAGTAATTAAATCCCACTTGTGGTCCCGAAACACATAAAAAAACTCAATTGGCCTCCTGAATTTTTTTCTAAAGAGTTATTTCTTGGCCTCAATTATAGTGAGTTTGGAAATAACTACAACTTATATTCTTTTGAATTTCGTAGAATTTTAATCAAACCTTTTTAGCTTTACTTCTGAAGTCCAAATCATCTAAAACAAAAGTGTAATTCCATTATTTTGGTAGTTCCTATAACATATCATTACCACATTTACATTTTTGCATATAATGTACACATTTATAATATCTTTTATATACGATTTTTAATAATATAGGTACACATGTATAAATATCTTTTATATATGATTTTTAATAATATAGGTACATGAACCTTTATTGACACATTTTTGGAGAATCAGAAGAAAGAAAACTAAAGTTTTGTCATACTAAGATAGCAAAAATGCCAATAACAACAATGATATCATACATGCTAAATATTTTTTAGTTTTAAATGACAAATTCTAGAGCTATTCTTTAGTATTTCTCTATTTTGTTCACAATTATCGTACTTTACTAAAGCTTCTGAGATTTTGTTTATTTAAAATGGTACAAATTCTTTTTATTAATGTTTCATCAAAGGTAATAATGAAACACCTTTCCCAAAGTGGAATAAAAGAACTCAAATTTTTTTTTTTCTAAAAAAAAAATAAACAATTACGCTAGAAAAATTAATTTTTTAACAATAATTTTTTTTGCCACTTCTCATTTTACATTCACCTTATTGTTTCCTTTTCTTTATATCTTATTCTTTCTCATATCAATTTTCTATCTAAATTTATTTAGGTTTCATTTTTTTTTTATATTTTCCTCAATATATATACCAAGACCAAAATTATACCCCCCCCCAACGGGTCCCCAACTCAAAAATCCTTGCTCTGCCCCTTCTTGTAGACCCATTCTTCGTTTTTTTTCTTCTTCTTTTTTTGATTCCTTTTTTCAAATTTTCATTTTTATCAGGCATTTAAGGAGATCCACAGTGGTGCGAAGCCTCCTGGAGTCTGTAAGACTTTAATTGAGGTCATCTCTAATGTCAAGAGCACAAATAACCCTCAGAGCTACTGTAAGTTGGTTATTTGTTTTTATACTTCTACTGGACTTCAATATCTATTTCTGAAAGTATCAGATTTGAAACCAACGATGAGAATGGATAAATAGTTTGGTGGGCATATTTTGTATAGCTATATATTGAATGGCATTGGTACTCATTTTACATTTAATTGGTATATGTGCCTATTATCGAGCCCATCTGATTAATGAATTTGGCTTTCCTTCTACCCTTTTCTTTTTAATCAAGTGGTTCAACAAAAACTCCATGTGAATAGAAGCAGAAACATTGGTTTAGAGAACCATTATTGACTACTTGTCATAGTTATGATCGATTTAGTCAGATTTGTTAATGAAGATAAAAATTTTTTTGGCATGTATGGTGTTTGGGTTAAATGATTGATAATTACTGAAGAGTGATTTATCATAAAGGTATTAAGTGATAGAAAAATATGCATAAAGTGAGTGGCAGAAATACAAATATTGTGATTGATGTGCGGCAAGACAAGAAATGATAGAATTAGAGATGAGAACATTCGTGAAATGGTTAGAGTAGCACCAATTGGAGATAAATCGAGGGGAAATCGATTAAAGATGCGTTGGTGATGTACAAAGAAGATCGCTAAGTGTGACCATGACCCCAAGTTGTTGGGAAAATGTTTTGTTAATTTGAGTTGATTATTAAGTTTTGAAAAGAACTACTTAAATGTAGATGTATTGGATTTTAGCTTTGCCATCAAGTTGAAGTTAACTTGCTTCAAAAGTCATTATTTTGTCATATTTGATTGAAAATTTAAGGTTGAATCCCTTCTCCTACAAAGAAACTCAGAATACCAATTCTATTCTCTTCTCTTTTCTTCTCTGGACCGAGACGACTTAGAGTCATGTGTTCGCACTTTTCGTAAAACTTGGGTTGCAACGTGTCCTCATTAGTCTACAGCCATTGAATACACTGGAGATAAAGATTCGTGAAGAACACGGAGCAATTTTTTGCAAGACTCAATAACATATCTAGGATACAGGTAAATGAGACCATAGAAGATCTAAGGTGACCTAGAAAGGCTAGATTTATCTTAAAGAGGCTTAAAATGTTTTTCTGAACATGTTTTTAAAATTTGAGTTTTTCAAATTAATTTTTTTTTTTTGGAAGTTCAAGCAAATCTTATATATATATATATATATATATATATATATATATATGAAATAATTACAGTGGGCTTCAGCTTGGGCTGAAGAAAACAAGGCCCAAATTAATGTTTTCAGAAAAGCTATCAAAACTAAGTGTTATTTGAAAACAATGTGTGTCGGTAGATAGGTATGTCGATCAAGTGCTACCTCGTGACTTGGTGTGTCTTCATTGATAGGTGGATTGAATGAAGTTTTTCCTGAAAATTCTTTGTAATCTAAAAACCCTCAATTAATGGCTCAATTGATTGAGGAACCTCCAATAGTTGTCGATTCTAAAAGGATTTTATTTACCAAACTACAAAGGTCTCCTTTATTGGTTATAAATATGGGGTTATGGTTAGTCAAGGTAATGATGTGAGATTTTAAGTATATTAGAGAGAGAAGATCCCTTGTTCCTCAATGTAGGGTTTTACGGAGATTACATGTGTGTGTGTGTTGGTGAGACTTTTACACCAAGGAGAACATCATATTTAGTTACAAAGAGCAAGTCAACTGAACAAACAAAGAGAGGAAGGATTGAACAAGCCATGGAAAGCCGATTGCTTGAAGAGTGAACCTGTTGATGGAGCGGACAACTTGAAAACTCAAGTGGAGAGTTTGGTGTGTCTTTGTTAAGAGGTAATTAGGGAATTCTGGAGTTGAAATCTGGTAACCTGGTTGAATCATCTCTTTCTTATAGTGGATTGTTCATGGCTGGACTTGCTCCCATGATTTTTCCCTGTTTACATAAAAATCTTGTCTCTGTTCTTTCTATGTTAATGTGATTGTGCGGATGAAATTCAAATCACATCAACAGTAATTAAAAAATTAGTTAAAATTTGAACTACTGTCCATAAGACCTATTCATCCGCCCTCTTGGTCTTTTTAACAGCATGTGCTCTAATGTATCAGAGTATTGGGTTACAGCCACTACATTCTACAATTGGTATTTGAGCCTTGGGTAATGGTCACTATATTTCACACACATCAATTCTGTAGCTTATATTACACACTGTATTTGACAGGGAATTGCCAGGCTCTCATGTAGTAGTCCTAACAAGCTATTTGTCTTGGGCTGACTTTGGAAGGTAATTGGTTTGGTGGGCTTGTATTATATAGCTATATATTGAATGGAATGGGTGCCTGTCTTACATTTAGTTGGCATATGTGGCTATTATCTAGCCTATCTGATTATTGAGTTTGGCTTTCCTTCTACTCTTTTCTTTTTAATCAAGTGGTTCAACAACGACTCCATGTAAATAGAAGCCGAAACATTGGTTTAGAAAGCAATTGTTGACTACTATGTTCTAGTTATCATCTATTTAGTCATATTTGTTAATGATGATGAAAGTTTTTGGACATATTGGTGTTTCGGTTCAATTATTGATAATCACTGAAGAGAGATTTATTCATGAAGTATTAAGATTTGAAAAATAACTTAAATGCAGATGTTTTGGGTTTTGGCTTTACCATAAAGTTGAAGTTAACTTACTTCAAAAGTCAAAACTTTTTTGTTGAATCTGATTTAAAATTTAAGCTACACACTGTATTTGGAATGGAATTGCCAGGCTTTCACGTAGAATCCCTAGCAAACTATTTTCTTGTGTTGTCTTTGTAATATGTATAGAAAAATATATCAAGAATGATACTAACCTAGCAAGCTGTTTTTATTGGGCTGTCTTTGTAATTGCGTATTATGAAATATATCAAGGATGATACTAAGCATCCCGGAAAAATATAGATCTTTTTTACTTATCAAAGCAATATTAATTATTGTTTATTATGAATAAATACATCTTTCTAAATCCACTAAAGTATTGGTCGTGTTTACTTTTAGAAAGTACTAATCATTATTCAAAAATATATGTTATCCATTTCTAGTTGATCTTTAACATGCTTTATTTGACATTATGCCATTTTCCATATCATGGTACTATAAGTAATCCTACCATCTCCTGTTGTGATTGACTTGTATTTCCTCATTATAGTGCAAAACTGCCGTGTCCTATGGACTGGCCTTGGGGCGCAGCTTGCTCGTGATGTACCTTTCTCTGCAATCTGTTGGTCAACCCTTGAACCTGTGAGAATTTATTCTCTCTGGCCTTTCTCTAGATTTGAATTTGAGTTTGTATTCTGTATGTTTCAAATATTAATTTTTAATTAATCAACAGACCAGGAGAAGACTTCTTGGTCTGGTGGGTGAGGAATCCAATGCAGCCAGTATCCTTGGGGCAAATTTCTCTGCTGGTTTTGTTGCAGGAAGTCTTGCTGCTGCTGTTACATGTCCGCTGGATGTTGCGAAAACTCGAAGGCAGATAGAGGTTCTTGTTTTTTTCTCAAGACCAAACATTTTTTGAATTAGAAGAATGTAGATGATTATCACTTCTATTAGGATAATAGTCAGTGGTACTTGTAGATATCCTTTATGCGTCCTAATTTATTTGTCAAGTGGATGCCAACTCATTCATATTCTTTTTCTTGGGATATAACATGTGATATTTCAGAGTATGTATCGCATGCCCTATTTCAATTATAAATAGGATGATGCATGACAAAAAAAAGGTATACTTTAACTGCTGTATGTGAGGTTTCTTTTCTACTGCTGGTGATGCTTCTATGTGGATGGTGGTTGATAGAGTTCCTTTGTTTGTGTACGAGATTTCACCAACACATGCCATTTAGAAGGCATGATTACTTCGAGGGCAACTGAGAGAAATGAGACTACTCTCATCCTGCCTTTTCCCTATTTGTATTTGTATATTTCTCTTTCAATTCGGTACACATGTAAAGTTGGTTTTGAGTTTTTGTCAGTAATTTGCCCTTCAGAGTTCGAAGCCTTCACTAACTAGCGACCGGTGCCCTTATCATTAGGATAGTTCATTTGTTGAACAAGAAAAAAACACGATTATATAGTATTCTCATTTACTACTAAGCCGAAGCCAATTGGAAGTTGGCTTAGATTTCTTGAGGAGCTGGTATTGCAACCAACAAGTCAGCTTTTGCTATTTTCAGAGAATAGTTTAGTTGGTTGTACTAGTATTTTGGCATGTTCTCTGCATGTTGTCAGCACTTATGCTTTCTGTAATTTTCTGGATGAGACACATGAGATATTCACTCGAGCATGCATGCTCTTACGAACACAAATCAGATGGGGAGAAATATATTTTTGTGTGTGTGTATATATTTATATATGAGAGAAAGAGGGAGAGAGAGAGAGTTGAATATATGAATAGATAGTCGTCGCATGTTGTCCATGTTGCAGCAGCATAAACAATATCCATTATACATACTAAATACAGTGGTAGATATCCCTTGCTAGAGTATTTTTGCCTTTATATGTTGCTGCTCTAAATTAGATTGAATGACATGTAAAATCTGATTTTTATTTTTTATTTTTCAAAGAAAAAAAAATACTCCTTAATACTGAAGGAAGTCTTTTCAGTATTTTAGTTCTCTTTTTTGATCTTTTATTTTTATTTTTCAGAAGGATCCTGCCAGGGCGTTGACAATGACGACAAGACAAACTCTAAAGGAGATTTGGAGGTATATTTCTAGTTTATTTTACTGCACGTTCTGTTAATAGCTAATCCATATTTCATTTATGTAATTGAAATGAGAGATCAAGATGAACATAGCATACGTGTAGATTCCTTATTAATCGATAAATATGATTGTTTAGCCTGCTGGGGTTATATTGGGGACACGGTACCAACAAACCATCTGATCAAAATGCCCAAGCACTCCAATAATTCCTTTCATTTTTGCTTCGCTGTCTTTGGTGGCTTCCTGGCCTCCTGCATGTGCGAATACGATTCCAAAACACATACTTTGTTAAGTATACCAGTTGAGTCCCGTGTTGAGGTTCTTTACAAACAACATTCTATCTTGTGTAATATTTGCAGGAAGAACATTGGGGCCAAGCAAGCGATGGTCCCGTCTTTGTGATTCACATGCTCTTATGTTCATCTGTTTTTGCAAGTACCTATATGTAATGGTAGTTGCTGAATGCACCTGAACTTGGAATTTGTCTTGTGCAGGGTTGGTGGGATGAGGGGACTGTTTACAGGTGTCGGTCCTCGAGTTGGACGTGTAGGCCCTTCCGTCGGGATTGTGGTTTCATTTTATGAAGTTGTGAAGTATGTTCTTCATGACACGAGATCTGGATAGCTGCTCTTGCCCATAGTTGATCCCTTTTTTGCTTCTACTTTGCGGGAAGGCAGGTTCTGGCATAGCAAAGATAATTACCTAACTGCTTGAAGGAAATTTACTCGGCTATTATGTGGATAGATAGGTAGCACACAGTTGACCAGTTTTGAAATTGGTAGATGCTCTTCTCAAGGCTGTTTTTGCAGGAAAAATTCCAATTTTCTGTTAAAGAAGTTATTTGATTTTTAGGTAAAGAAATTTTGTAATATTTGGATCTCTGACTTTGAGTAAGCAATTTTTGCTGAGTTGATCTCAGTTTGCTGATATTAATCTTCCAAAAGTGAGAGAGGAAAGAAAGATCAGAGTTCTGGGATACTTAATGTGAGAAATAATAGTGGTGGTTTGCAGACTTTAATTGGAGGGGTGGTGGGTCCCACTATATGATGTAATGATGACATCAACTAATTTTCCTTGAATCGTTATTCGAAAAACAAATTATCATGAGACAGCAGGCAATTAGTTCACTTTACAAAATCATTTTTTCTTTTACGTTTAGGCATAGAATCATTTTCAATAACCAGAATACTAGAGGGGTCCATAAATTATTTTTAGTAATTTCACAAATTATCGACTCAGACAAAACATTGCATGAGAGCAAATTCACAAATGCAATGAAAAGTCTTATTCTAGTTTTTATTGAAGGGGTTAAAAAAGGTCTCTCTTGGCTTTTGAATTTTCTTTGAATCATTTATACTAACTCCGCTTGGTTAGATGGAAATAACCAAAAAAAGAAAAGAAATAGATGGAAATAACCAAAAAAAGAAAAGAAATAGAAAGTTCAAGAAAAGTGAAGTGAATAAAAAGAAGTAGACGCTTCTTTCACGCGAAAATAAAATTTTCTCGTATTTTTTATTAGATTTCTCTTTTTAACCCTCCAAACTCTAAAAAAAAGTTTAAACTATAAAAATTTTCTCTTTTCTTTCTTTTCTAGCTCTTTTCACCTAACCAAACAAAGTGAAAAAATAAAAAATAAAATAAAATAAAATAAAAATAAACTTTCCTCTATGAAAGACCAAATCCATGAATAAATAAAATAAGATAAAAACCTTCCATATAAAAATGTGCAAAAAATACCCTTTAATTGTTAATTTTGACCATTTTTTTTTTTCTATAAAAATCCCAAGATACACCTAAGCAGAATGTGCACCTATACTTTTTAAATTGAGCAAATAAGAACAATTATTCAATTTAAAAATTATAATACCAAAAATGCCCTTAAATTAATTGTTACCTTTGCATGATATGGAAAAATACTACCGGTAACATTTTATGGTTTATAGGGCAGAGAATTTCTTCCCAAGTTATAAAACAAAATCTCTGATTTTCCGAATGTTAATCCCAATTTTTTTTAAGTTCCTTTTGTAGACCAAATTTTGTTTGGGTCATGAATCCTTAGAAATTGAATAGTTAGAATTGAAATTGATGAAAAAAAAAAAAAAAATTTAGTTCAAAATTTTAATTAAATTTTTTCAATTTTATCAATTTCAATTCCAAAATTTCAATCCTATATTTATAAATAATTTCAATTTTTGATTGCCGTTGCCGTAAAACTTCTGTTGTATAGTAGTACACAAATCCTCCAACTTTCATTAAGATTAAAAAATAAATAAAAAATTTATTTGTAAATAGAAATTAAATTCCATGAAGCATTGAATATACTTTGCTTCGTGCTCAATTATTGATTGTGTCTACACATCGCTGTTTGTCGTATGGCAAACAAAATTTTCAAATCACGAAAACAAAAAAACAAAAACAAAAATTTCAAACTTTTCGTTTGAAGATAGAAATTAAATTCAACATATCAATGCAAAAAGAGATTCACACCAGAAAAAAAATCATCATCCAAGAATGGGGCCATTCATTACATTCAACTCTTCAATTCATTACCGTCCATGCCCTCAAATTTCAAATACACCACCCACAAAAAAAAAATTTAAAAACAAAATAAAAAAATAAAAATAAAATCGAACTCCTCCTCTCCCTAATTAGTGGATGAGGTATGTGAGCAGCAAAGCCACCAGCATTAGCAGATATGCTATTCCCTGATCTATCGATGTCCCTGCAACCAAACACACATATAACACACACATATATATAAGTCCAAAATATATTAAACAGCAGAAGTTTTGTGTGTGTGTGTGAGAGAGAGAGAGAAAAAAATTAAATATAAATATATATATATATATACCGTCGCTGGTTGGAGCAGGAGCCGGAGCAGGGGCGGCGGATTGGGTTGTAGCAGCGGGGAAGCCAACGGCCAAGATGAGAGCGATAACCGCAACCGCCAAGAATGAACACCTTCTCACCTCCATTTTCTCACCTCCTATTTGATTTGTTGTTTCAGGGGAACGGCAGATATATAGAGAGATACTGAGAGGAGGCGGAGTTATCTTGACGGCGATAGATACACTGATTGATACATATACAATCCCTATATATATAGCGAGTTGTGATAGAGTGGGAGAAGGAAAATGGGTGAAATGTTCGAATGTGTGGGGTCCATTAAGTTCTGTGGGGCCCACAACCCATGTGTGTCTCCCCTCTCTCTTTCTTTTCTGGCTTTGCTTTGTTTAAGTTGTGTGTGTGATTTACGTGTGTTGGCTGTGTGATTCTCTCATGGTTGTTGCCAACACAGATTCTTCCATTTATGATTCATCACTGATGTTTTATCGATTATTCTTCTCACTTTATATATATATATATATATATATATATATATATATATATTATAAATAATAATCCAGATAGAAAGATTATGATATGGGTTTCATTTTTAAAGAATCAATATCAATTTGGTTGGAAAATTATTTTAAAATTTTAAGTAACACATCCACAATTTAAATTTCAAGTTTTAGATTTCTTCCCAATAAAGTCTAGTGCGTGTGTGTGTGACTTACGTGTGTTGGCTGTGTGATTCTCTGATGGTTGTTGCCAACACAGATTCTTCAATTTATGATTCATCACTGAATGGATTGATGCTTGTTTTATCGATTATTCTTCTATATATATTACTACATAAATAATAATCGTGATAGAAAGATTATATGATATGGGTTTTATTTTTAAAGAATCATAAATAGTAATTTCATCAATTTGGTTGGAAAATTATTTTAAAATTTCAAGTAACACATCCACAATTCAAATTTCAAGTTGTAGATTTCTTCCTAATAAAGTCCAACTGCAGCACAGCAGAAAATGATAAGAATATATACATATATTTATATTTAAATTGGGTAAAAATACTAATTGCTTGCATTAACGCTCACACTAATACTGGTGATAAATAAATATAATTGCAACAATTACGTGGGTCCAAACGAATTTCACTTTTCGTTCAAAAAATAGTTTTGTTCAATTCTCCTTGGTATAAAAATTATTTTAAAATATATTTAAAAAATCATCATTTTATAGTTTAAATAATATGAAACTTACCATAAAAAGGGTATTATAGTCAGTTCAACAAATTAAAATATTTGTGTTTTTATTTAAGAAAAATATTTATAATAAAATTAATTAGTTATGGAGAGTAATGCTTTTACCTAAAATTGTACATTTGATTATACCATTTTATTTGGCCGCTGATCCACCATCTTTTTATTTTAAAATAAAGAATAATGATACTTGCATCGATTTATTATAATTAGTTACCTAACCGAATGTTTCACTACAACAAATTCCATAAATAAAGAAGTGTGACCTTCCACTTACATGTATTGTGTATAAATAATTAATCAGAAACATTCGATTAGGTAATTTACTGTAACAAATCGGTGCAAGTATTATTACTCTAAAATAAAATTACAAAAAAATCACAAAACTTACAATTCTTAGCTCTAATATCTTTTAGTCCCATAAATGCCTTTTTCTTATCAATTTTAGGAGTGATGAATTTCATTTCCATTTATTTCTCTGTTAGATATTATGATTTATTTTTGACTCATTCTATTTGGCCCGGCAAATAAACACACACTTCACCGACTTTAGTGGTTAGTTTGGTGCAATAGAAAAGGAAGAAAGGAAAGGAAAGGTGATGGAGAATGATTAAAAAATTTATGTTTAGTATAAATGATTGGAAGAAAATAAAATTGATAGTTTTGGAAGGATATTATAAGGCTTAAATAGTAACTTTCTTATCCTCCAAAAAATGAAAGAAAATGAAAAGAAAGAGAATGAGAGACTTGATGTATTATTTCTGATGTCAAATTTACCCTTAACATAAAATCAAGATTACACTTGATTTTAGGGCATATAGTCAGTTGAGGGAAACAAATGCGGCAAATTTGTGGAAAACTAGGGTGCCAAAATTCACTACTATAAGAAGAAATAGGAGAGAGAAGGGGGAAGTGGGTTCACGATGTGGTATAGGAGAGAGAGAAGGAGGTGTCTGAGAAATTATTAGATTGTCCTAGTCTATTTGACACTTGGTGGACTAATTCAATGAAAACCCTCCGATCATAAAATTTTATAATTTAGTAACAATTGAGGGACCATTTTCTCAATCTTAGAATCTGTATTTAACTGATCTACCAATTGTTAATGATTCAGGATCATTTAATAATTTCTCGAGCTGCACACCTTCAAATGAAATTGGTTTACGCATGGCGCCCCTCTTCTTGTTTTTGTTTTTGTTCTTGTCTTTTCCACATAATTGTATATAAAGTTTGGTTTCGCACTTTTCCGTGTCTATCCTTTTTCTATTATAAAATAAAATAAATATATAAAAATTGAACTTGAGTTCAATATGCTTTTTTAGAAGAAAAAAAATGTAAAAGGATATTCCTTTAATAAATGGCTTCTTTTATAGATAATTTATTAAAATATTCATTTACTAAATAATAGTTAAAACTTATAAATAATTGTCCATTTTTTATTGGTAACATTTAATTTAACTCATTTATATTGAAATAGTAATATTTCTTTTGCCTATCTAGCATATATTTCTTTTGTCTATCTAGCATATAAGTTAAAGGTATAACATGAATTCAAAAGAATAATAATGATTTTATCAAATTATTATTTATTTTTATAGTACATAATTAAATCTATAAATTTATCTTTTAAAATATAAAAGGGTATAATAGTAAATTTATTAAAATAGTATCCTTTCTTTCCTTTTTCCAAACATTATTATTATTTTTTTCTTTCTTTTTCCATATTAATCACCAAACAAGATATAAGGTTAAAATTATCATTTTCTTTCCTTTTTCCCTCCCTCATAATTAATGTTATCTTTTATTTTCTTTTTCACCGTACCAAACATAGCCTAGGTGGTAGCCAAGTGTCAAAGTTAGAGTGGGTCATTTTAACATCAAAAAATTTCAACATTTAATATTCATAAGATATCTTCCAAAACAAATACAGTACTTTCCAAAAAATAAATCAACAAAACTACAACTCTCAAATAACAATTCTAAAATAATAATTATTCTCAAAGAAGAAAACCCAAACAAGAACTCTTAAAAAAGAAATCATCAAAATAAGAACGGGTCAGAGAAAGAAACCAACAATTATTTGGGAGGAGTAATTTATTTTCTAATTGTGATGTAGTTTCATGTATTATGACAATCGAAAGAGTTAGGATCTAGTGCGAAGAAAGGGTGTTTTGTACATTTAATGTAAATAAGGTATTAAGGAACAGCGTGGTTGAATGGAAAAGAATAGGATGGTAATAGAAGAAAATAAAAAAATGTGTTTGGTTGGAAATATTGAGAAAAAAGAAAAATAAAGGATAGAGTAAGGCATGAATAGAGAATAATAACTTTTGTTATCTTCCTAAAAACAGGGGCAGGAAAGTCTAATATTTTAATGAAATTTTATTAATATCAAATTTGCCTTTATTTTAATCAAAGACAAGCTCTATTAAAAGAGTATTTTTACAAATTTATTAAAATAGTTTCATTTATTTATTTTTTCCGACCATGATTATTATTATTTTTTTCTTTTACTTTATTAATCAACCAAACACGAGTGATTCTTTTTTCTTTTTTTTCTTTTTTTATTTTTTATTTTTGTACCAAACATAGCCTAAGGAGAGGAGCAAAAAAGAAAATCAACTAAAATTGAAATTCAACAGCACTCCTAATCTTGGAGTAAGTATTTGGTATCTCAAGTACCCGAAAAATGAGCCTGGTGTATTTACAACCAAGTACATATGAAATCTTTATATTGATAATTTTATGGCTACTATTTTTTTTTTTCTTTCTATAATAACATATTTATGCTCATTTAGCTTAAAATTATCATAATTATATCTATAGAGTCATTCTTCTTTTTTAATTCTTTTCCTAATAGGACTTTTTCCAACTCTTGTTCCATTTATGCCGTTAGTTTAAAGTTATTGTCATTTCTTCCCAAAAACTTTTCTGTCAGATTTTTTTTTAATAAAAATCACATCCCCAGTACAAATCTTCCGTTTCTAGAATTATTGTGTCTCCTTTTTAGGAAATTAATAAGCTTTTTGAATATTGCTTTGTTCTTCTTTGATTGTCTAGTCATATTTTTGTCTTTTTCTGCCCACTTAGAATTTTGAACCCTTATCTGATATGGTCCCAAAATAAGTGTCGTCATACTTCCTCCATCACAATTATCAACTAGAACACTTAATTTTGAATAAAGAGAGTATTTTTTTTTTTTGTCCCAAAATAATTTAAAATGACAAGTTAATAACTTTTCAGTTATAAATTACAAATGAGGAGGGAGTATTATTTATCTAATAATTTAATAATTTATTATTATTATTATTATTTTTTGAGATAATCATTTAACAATTTTTTCTACAATGCCTGGTAACTGTTTTCCGTCTTGAATTTCTTCAACAAATTCTGACTTTAGAGATTATGGTGCCATTTGATAAAATTGAAAAAAAAGTATTAAAAATTGTAAAAGCTGAATTTTTACTGCTGAAGTTTTAAAATTATAATTAAATTTAAGAAATTTTTTAATATTATTTTGGAAAAAAAAATTTAATATCTTTTTGAATTTTGAAGATTTTAGCATGTAGAATTTCTTCAGCAAGTTTTTATTTATTTATTATTTTTTATATATAAATATTTTTATGTAGAAGTTTTTTATTATGTACGTCAAATTCATCTATAGATTCTTAATTTTATCACAGTAATAATATTAGGATCTCTTGGCGTATTCTACTGAATCAATGATTAAGTTTGGCTATGACAGAAATTAATACATTTTATTTTTGTAACTTGAAGAAAATATTAAATCTTTCTTTCCAAATTTCTCTGGTCAGTACCAAGTACGACATTATAGTTTAAGAGTATTTTTTTGTCTTCTAAAAGAGAAGTTTAAGGATTCAAGTTCTCCTAAAAATAATAATGTAAATATGTGGCGTGTTTCTTACTAATAGTAATAATAATAAAATAAAAAATAAAAAATAAAAAAACAATCTCTGGTCAGTGTCTCTCACCCTCTCCATGGCCTAGGTTATTGGGGTGGATTGTTGTTTTCCATCTCAAGTTGTTGCTTTTTTTTTTTCTTTCCCTTCCTCTTTCACCGACAGGTCCTAATCTCACCACTAGCTTGCTCTTTCTAGCACGTGAGTGTGTGTATTTGTTTATATATATATATATATATATATATATATATATATATATATATATTTCTTGTTAATTGTTTAGTTGATGGTTGAGTTTGAGCTCTTGAAGCTTAAGGTGCGAAACTGATAAAATGGAGTATTTTATTGTAACACGTACTATTTTACTTTTTCATTTTCCCTTTTCAGTGGCACTCACACTGAGTACTAGCACTGAATTATTGGAATAAATTTTAATTAATTATTTGTACTAAATATAATTAAGTGGGAGGTTTCATTTTTTTATTTATTACATAATTTACCAGATAAAAGAAATGCAATTCATTAAAACTATTCCGTGCAAGATTTTGTTTTATTTTTAGCAAGAAGTTTTAACGGGTGGGAGATGAAGATTGGAGGGGAATTCTTAAACAATGTGGAGCGGGACAAGAGCTCTTTTCATGGCCACAACTATCATACAAGGCAAGGCAAGCTACGAGTAGTGCCTATCCGTGAGAACTGGGCTTTGCTTGGTTAGTAGAGCCCACCCGTTTTGTCTCGCAGGCCTGCCTGCGCATGTATACCGGGTCGGTTTGAACTACCACATCTTAGGCCTACCAAAGAATGAGGTCGATTTGGGAGCCCAAATAGCCATCTCTAACATCCTAAACAACAAAAGTCAAGCCCAAATAAACCACTAATGAATGAGTATTTAATACTTAAAAATACACTCTCTCGAGTTTATTTCATGGTTCTGAATCAATTATTTAATACCTAAATAAATGTGTCAAAAATGTGTCAATTTTATTCATTGATCGGACCGTTAGTGGTCCACATCCATGACCAAAATATTGAAAAGAAAATGATGGTTGGTGAACTAACACACACAACAACCCTTGCACACTCACAAGGTTTGACAGCAAAAAGAAAATGCACAACAATACAGCCAATACCCTCTCTCCATCCCAACCAAATTTTGAATAAATAAAATGGAAAATTGTTTTTCTGAGGGTATCAAAGCTCAAGAAAATTGCATCATGGAAAGCAAATTTCTTTAGCCTTGGTTGGTTCTCTTTATCTTTTTAGTCTTTGATTAAATCAATAATGCATATGATTTTAGGCATATTAACAACAAAAATAATACAAACACAACTATTTTCTTTATATGACTTAACAGCATAGATAGTCGCTCTATTTCGATGTTCAAAATTTTAATTTTTCATTGGAAGAATGTGCTATTTCTTAAACTAATAATTTTTATTTACCTATTATTAGAAAATAAATAGCTGTTATGCAACTTTGGGAAATGGAATCTTTGTAGATTTCAATAGGAGATGCTTTGTTTTCTCAGCAATAAATTGCCGCCCTCCATATAAATACACACACAGGAAGATTGAAACTTACACACAAAACATATCACATATACATACATACATATATATATATATATAGAGAGAGAGAGAGAGTGGTGGTGGTGGCGGCGGTGGCGGCATAGTAGCATGGAATCAATTATAGGACAAGCAAAGAGAGTAGTAGGAGGAGGTGGTGGTGTGAATGGGCAAAAGGGGGGAGAGAGGTGTGGTGCAGGGCAGTTCCAAATGCCATTGCACTACCCGAGGTACTCCAAATCAGACTACGAGAACATGCCGGAATGGAAGCTTGATTGCCTTCTCTCCGAATATGGGCTTCCGGTTACCGGCAGCGTTGACCAAAAGAAGAAATTTGCCATGGGTGCTTTTCTCTGGTCTCTTTAATTAGAGCGTGCTTATGTCTCATGTAATGTGATGTTATATTTAGGAGTATCGTATTTATGTTTTTATTTTTATTTTTATTTTTATTTTTTCACCCCTTTATTAGTTATGTGATTCTCCCATGAATCCAAATCTATAATACAATACCTTATGAATGGAGTTCATGTTCAATTAGATGCCATATTTCATGTCATATACGTGTTCACCATATTCCCTTCATCTTCCACAAAGCATGCATGCACCACCATATCTAACATTCACTTCACAATCAGCTAACGGTGCTCAAATTGCATACTTTTATATTGTGAATCTATTTATATCTAAGTACACAAAACTACTCTGCCTCAAACAATCATGAAAAAAAATAATAATAAAAAAAGAAGGAAGGATGAAAAGGGCAGGCCATGAAATTCCATATTGATTATACATAAGGAATAATTCCATAAAAATGGGGTTTTTGGGGTCAAAGAATAAAAGAATGGAGTCAAAATCAAGTTTTCCAAATTAATGAAATTTTATGCTAAGTCTGACATGGACATGAAAAATTACCATATATTATCTTTTTATTCCCAAAATACAACCACATTTATATCAATCTTCTCAAATTCTCCTTCTCTAGCAGCTCCTCTTTCCTCAAACTCTCGAATCACAACATCAAAATCATTGTAAAAAGAATGAAGTCAAAATCCACTTTTCTGTTCATTTTCTTTATAAATCATCAATTCTCAATGTAATTTCCTTTCTAACTTTGATTTCTTCCTCCATTTTACTTATTTATTTTTAATTTCCTTTCTAAGTTCTCAATATAATTTCCTTTCTAACTTTGATTTCCCCCTCTATTTATTTCTATTTTACTTATTTATTTTAATGTAATTTTTTTTATTAAAATAATGAAGTTTCACAATTATTAAAATAAATTTATTTAACAAATAAAATTGCTATTTAAACCAACACTAATAAATTGGGCATGTTTGGTGTGGTGTGGTGTGGTGAAATGAATTGGAATGGAATGAGAATGGAGGTGGGAATTGAATGAGAATAATGATTCTTATTCCACCGTTTGGTTGTAAATATGGAATGTGTAAAAATGGAATCTCATTCTCATACCTATGTTTGGTAAGAAAGTTAGAAAAAAATGAATTTATATTGTTTCTTTAAATTACATTTTATTATTAGTAAAAAAAATTAACTAAAAAAATTAATTTGCAAAAATAAAAGGGAAAGAGATAATAGAAAGAGAAAACTAAACGAGATAGAGAGAGGGGGAACAAACAGCATATAGATGCATATTATATATATATATATATATATATATATATATATATTTTATATAGTGTGTGTATGCGTGAATTATCTACTTAAATTATTTTATTACTTTATTAATTTTTAGTGGGAATGGAATGGTCATTCCACCTCTCAAGAAGTGGAATGGGCATTCCACATTTTTGATGGAATGGACATTCCCTAGGAATGGCCATTCCACTTTTAATGTGACATACCGAACAATAGAATGGAAACAAGTGCATTTCATTCCATCTTCATTTAATTCCATTCACTCACACCTAACATAGCCGCCTTACAGTCTTTGATTCTCTCTCACTACCACTGCTAAATTCAAGATCTTCACAGTATATAGATATATAAAAATAAATAAGTAAAATAGAGGGGAAAATTAAAGTTAGAAAGGGAATTACATTGAGAACTCATGATTTATAAAGAAAATGAATAGAAAGTGAATTTTGACTTCATTCTTCTTGCAGTAATTTTGACATTATGTTTCATGAGTTTGAGAAAAGAAGAGCGGCTGGACAAGGAGAGTTTGAGAGGATTGGCATAAATGTGTTTCTCTTCCTTCTCTAGATATGAGAGGGGTAGTAACATAATTTCTTAACAATAATAAAAAGGTATTTTGGAAATAAAAAAGATGATGTATAGTAATTTTCCATATTCACGTCAGACTTTCATAAAATTTCATTAATTTGAAAAACTGGATTTTGACTTCATTCTTTTGTCTTTTGACTCTCAAAACTCCATTTTTATGAAATTATCCCTATACATAAAACAACATCTAAGGAGGTCATTTTTATTGTATTTATGTAATTTTTCATTTTTATTGTATTTGTGTAATTTTACATTATAATGTCGTCGGTCAAAAAGGATAATTTGTGACGGTAATAAATTGAGAGTGTTTATTGACAAAAAGTAAAAAAATGTAGAGAAAATATTTTACACTTTATAATACTACACATAAGTTTAAGTGTAATTTGAGCAATAAGTTATAATCAAATCTTTTTTTGGCCGGACAACTAAAATTGGCATCCCATGAATTGACCTTAAATATTTTACAAGAATATAGTTCACTCTGGCTTACTCACTCTCTCACAACTTTTCAACTACTTCGGGTTGAGTATGTCTTTTCCTATTTTATCCTCTCTATTATTTTAATTGTTTTTTTTAAACAGTATTACAAAAAATTTTGGTGCTTGCTTAATCATAGTTACAAATATTCCTTTATTTATTGTACCATTACAATAAATAAATAGTGTTCTACGGAGTACAAAATAATGCTACATCCATGAATATTTTATGCATATAATTGTTGAATTACCATTTTAACCTATTGGTTGTATAATTTTGGTTGCAACGTTATTTTGAAATGGCACAAAATTAAAAATTCGTTTTTGAAAATTATTCATAAACCTCAGACTCAGTTTGAACCTGAGTTAAGCAAGACCACATACCAGACCCGATTACAGAGTAGGGAGGATCAGGAAACTCAAGTATCCCAAAACGGAGAAGTAAACGAAGACCCAAAAAAGAACATGAAAATTTTGAGGGATATTAGTCGACGCACCAACCTCACCAGCAGAAAAACCCTAGTTTCTGCAACTGCTACACTTCTCAACAACCTAGGGTTAAACAGAGGCCTCTGTACATACTCGGAAGATCCGGAACTGAAAGAGTTCCTGGATTACTTGGGCAATCTCAAGAACTTCGAGAAGTCCGGTGTCCCCAAAGGCGCAGGAACGGATTCCAATGATGGGTTTGATCTGGGAAGGATGAGACGGTTGATGGAACTACTCGGTAACCCTCAATCCAAGTTCAAGGTTTGATTCAATTTTCTCCAGTTCAGTATTTTCTTGAGTTGTGTTTGTTTTCTGATAAAATGTTGGATGATAAAAAGAAAAGAAAAGAAAATTTTGAATCTTTTGTTTTATGTAGTGTGTGTTCCAAATATAGAAAACACAGCTTGTGTTTGAGGAAATGCTTGCAGGAATAGGATGGAAATTAATTATTTTTCAGTTTTATGTTACTGTGTCTGGACTGAAGTTGAATTTTCCACTCTGGTTAAACAAGAGTGATGAATTTTGTGCATCAATTGTTTACTTGTAATTCAATTTGTTCTCATATATCACAAGTATCAATCAGGGTTGGAGGGCCTATAGATTATAGGCGCTTATTGTTTGGATGAAGGTGAAAACCCAAAAATTTTAAATGTGTTTGCCCACAATAGGACACTGTTCTGGCCATATCCGTGTTGGGGATTTGTCCGATACTACAGTATCCGTTCTTTATAGCTTGACACCATTAGTGTCCTCACATAGTTCTGCTTGGTAATGATTCTGTTAGTTTTGTTTAAGCGTACTTACTAGTTTGATATCATTTATAGGCTGTTCACATTGCTGGAACCAAAGGAAAAGGATCTACTGCTGCATTTCTCTCCAATATTTTACGTGCAGAAGGGTATTCTGTAGGTTGCTATACCAGGTATGGTCTATGTATCTTTTTACTTGTTCACTGTATTTTTCTGAAGCATTTTCACTGGGTATAAAAATTTCAGCCATTTGTTGTTGCACGGACAATGCCTTTTCATTTCCTATCTTTATGACGACAGGCTTCATTTTCTTTGAGCAGCCCGCATATACAGACTATCAGGGAACGTATATCATTTGGAACATCAGGTGAGCCCCTTTCGGCGAAGGCACTGAATCGTCATTTCCAAAGTATTAAAGAGACTCTTGACCAGGCAGTGGAACTTGAAAATGGCTGTATCAGTCATTTTGAGGTATCAGCCAGTGTGCAACACAATTTATAATTTTTTAACTGTGCATAAAGTGGGTGTTAGTAATAATGGAAGTGAAAGAAGAAATATTCACAAATAGGTTATGAAACTGAGTACCTTAGAGAATAGGAGCACTAACTCGTGGAGTTGGTTAATCTAGGTTCGTGCCCTATTTTAGTGCTTTGACCTTTTCTTTTCAATACTTCATTTGGTTGCATTCAGTCACAACAGTAACCTAATTTAGCTGTATAATAATGTTTGTCACTCTTTAGACCTTCCTATTTGTTTGTAGTTCTAGTTCTTCAGACTGGGAGGCAATACACGTGGTGCCAGGTTACCCAAATGGTTGGATTTGGATGACAGTGGGGCAGTTCAAAGTAGGAGAGAAAGTGGCATTAGTTGGCCCAAGGTCTTGATTAATCAGAATTCAGAAGTCCTCTGGGATTTACGAGATCACTAGCCCATCGGACTAAGCTGCTTGACTATTGTGTGGTGTTTCTAGGAACATTGAGGACACTTGGCCTGAGGCACAAAGTCGATCATAGGTGCACATAGGGCTACCAGCCTGTAGTGCCTAATTGAATGGGTCTTCCGGATTGGACCTGGAACATGAGTAACACGTAATCCATTGTTAGTTACAAAGAAGGCACTGTGTGCAACTTGTCACATAAATGACATAAGCTCTCCCCTCTTTCATGTCCAGCCAAGTCGAGTACCAATACCTTTTGATGTCTTGGAGTGGGTTGCCTTGGCTAGCTGCCAGTTCAAGCTGGCACTATGATTTGGTTTGTGTCAACTGTAGCTGGACCCAATTCAAGCGTCAGGGTGCTTTTTATCATCCATCTTGATCCACTTTCTCTTCTACTTACTCTCCAATTTTCCCCCTCCCAAGCTGGGTTGAAACTTTTTGGGGGTATAATCAGAAGTCATGGAATGCAAAGGGTGTCTACCTAGTTCTACGTAATACACCAATAACTACAGCACAATATAGGGCATTACAATCAGCAATAATTTATGTCTGCTCAGGATCATGTATGCTGTTAGTGGTATTGACATTAGTGAATGCTACAAGTTTGCCTCTTTGGTGCCATTGGCATATGCACTCTTTATTTTGTTTTATTTTTTTAATTTCTTTTGTTCTCAACAATTAAAATTTTCAGGTTTTTTTTTTTTTTTTTTTTTTTGACCAAAAATTTTCAGGTTATGACTGCTGTAGCATTCAACTTTTTTGCTCAAGAGAAGGTTGATATTGCAGTTATTGAGGTTAGCATCATTTCCCCTTGACGTATTACTTGGGGCAACTTTACTTTTATGTAACTTTGCCATGTGATTTTTCTTCCATCTGGGTGCTTTTCAACTTAATTGCTCAACAATGCTCCAAATCTTAATGACCTAGGATTGGGGTGTTTTTTAAAATGCCACAAAAGGCCAAAAGACCATAAAAAGCCATTAGAGTTATTGCCGCTGTGTTTGTTACTGGTTAATTGAGTGCATTAGATGGATCAGGTACAAACCTGATATTTGGTTATTTACACAAAGTGTGGTACCAGAGTTTTTACCACTACATCAAGCAATATTCTAGTTGGCCTGTGGTATTTTTTCCTTCGAAATTATTTTTATCTTTTTCTATGTTAATTAAGAGTACTGCAAGCATAGCTGAACTGATATTGTCTTTTTTCTGATTGAACAGGCTGGGTTGGGCGGAGCACGTGATGCAACTAATATCATTTCTAATTCTGACCTCGCGGTTTCAGTCATAACAACAATTGGTAAGGAACATCTGGCCGCACTTGGGGGTACTTTGGAGAGCATTGCAATGGCAAAATCAGGAATAATCAAACAGGGCCGCCCAGTTAGGTGGTTCTCACTACGTATTCCTTGTACATGCCTTCTCAACTGCAATTTGCTAGATATCATAACTTACATCCTAGTTGCATAAGTCTTCAGTACCTTTTGCAGTTGCTTTCTGTCATCCATTCAACAAACCATGAAAAATGCCTTAAGTATTTCCTTCTTGTTTTAGTAAATTTTTGAAACCAAATGCACACTGGGACTCATCATAAAAGACAAACTAGTCCTTTAATATAGACAATTTTTTGTTATTTTTCCCTAACATGCAGCCCTTGGCCTTAATCAGCATGGCTTTGGCTTTAAAATGATGGGCTGTCTAAAAGCATATTACAAAAATAAATAGGGATTCTAAACATGTCATATGGTCTACACGTTTAGATGATTAAAGAAAAAAAAAAACAGGGTTTGGACAGAATACCACGGAGAGCATCAATAGTGTACTACTGTTTACCCCTCTCATGATCTATCATCTCTGTCTCATATAGTAGCACTTACATTTTGTTTCATATTCATCATATCAACTGTAATGTAATAATCTTCGAACCTCTCAAATGGACCTTCATGTCACAATGTGCTTGCTGGAAAATGTTTGCTATTCTCCTTTATTTTGTGCCAAGTGTTTTAACTCGACTGGTTAAACTTTTCAGCTGGTGCTGGGCGGGCCATTCCTTCCGCATATTGAGCGCATTCTTCGTGATAAAGCATCCTCCATGTGTTCCCCTGTAGTATCAGCATCTGATACTGGAAACAGAAGTACTATAAAAGGCTATAGCAAATTATTTAGCAGACCTAGCCAATCTTGTGATGTAGTAATTCAAATTGAGAAGGACCTTAAGTTGGTATACAATTTTATCATTTTTTATTTTCAATTTGTGGACTTGAATTATTTATTGCTGAATTATTACTTGTCGAATGTTAATTGATGCTTTCAAACATTTACCAACTTAAAAACTTGATTTCGAGCCATGCAGTTCATTGAATTGTTTGATGTGACATTATGCCTTCTTGGAACTCACCAACTTCAAAACGCTGCAACTGCCACATGCACAGCACTCTGTCTTCGTGATCAAGGTGAGGATTTTATTTTTTATTTTTCATGTTCTCTTAGCATTGGACCAATTTATGCAGAACCAAAGGTTTTTGTTTATTATTATTATTATTATTTTTACCTTCTTCCTTTTGCGAGTTATTGAGTTCAACAGCTGAGGAAGTTCCCTGCAGTGTAGGATATTTGCCAATTGATGCATACCTCATTTTCATTTATCTTTTACCTCCCTGCGTTAAAATTGGTTAGGTATTTTATTGATTTTGTTGTGGAGTCATGTATATTGTTATGGACTTAGTCAATTATTGACAAAAGTAGAAGAATGGTGCTAGACTTAGATATTGATATTATTATTAATATTGATTAAGATATTAATTTCATGAGTCACATGATTTTTGGCCATGGAGATGTGATGGGAATATACTTTAAATCAGTGTACTGGCAATCTGTTTTGTACATCTTTGCCTTTTAATCATGAAAGGGTAAACTAGCACTAGGTCCACCACCTGGGCATTGGACCATGTGGGCCTCTCCTCCCCAAAGGGGGAAGGTGAGGGGTTTGAGCCCCAAATGGGGCAAAATTGTGTAAGTTGTTAATGTAACCAAATAAAAAAAATATATATATACAAAAACAAAAGATCATCAAAAAGTAACTTGTACTAATTAATCAGTAACCTGATATAATATTCTAGTAGTTAAGGTATGATTTCAAGATCATAATCAGTATCTCCGTCTTTTCCTAGACCAAAGGTAGGAAAGGTATGTGAAGGGGGAGGGAGGGGGGAGAGTATAAAAGAGAGCCTCCTCTTGTTAGTTACTGCAGAAGTTCCTTAATTGTCTCATGCTTTTTCTGGACATTTCAGGGTGGAGAATTTCAGATGGATCTATTCGTGCTGGTTTGGAGAATACATATTTGCTTGGGAGATGCCAATTTTTAACATCTCATGAAGCTGAGGCATTAGGATTACCTGGTGCAACCGTAATGCTCGATGGAGGTTTGTTTATCTCTTCTTCATTACTTGTGCTCTTGTGATATAAAGCTGAAGTGTCTTGTAACTTTCCAATAATCACACTGTGGCAGTCTGCTTATGTGCTTGTTGCTCATGTACGACATAAGAGATTTTCTATCAGTAAAGTAATCCTAATCTATTGATTATGATTCTACAATCATCCTAATGATCACTATTATTATTTTTCAGCTCATACCAAGGAATCTGCCAAAGCTTTGGTGGACACACTTCAGATGACATTTCCGGAAGCAAGATTGGTTTTTGTTGTTGCAATGGCAAGTGACAAAGACCATTTAGCTTTTGCTAGAGAACTACTTTCAGGTATGGCCCTTTCTTGTGTTTGCTGTATGCTTCATATCGTTATATAATTATTCCAAGTTTGGTAAAATTAGAAAATGGACATGTGCACAAAAGACCTCTTAGTGCACCAGTTAGGAAGAGTTGCATGGTCCACATTGCGGGTGCTTTGGGGAAGACCAAAGACCTGTAAGTGCACCTGTTAGGAAGAGTTACGTGGTCCTCATTGAGGGTGCTTAGGGGAAAGACCAAAGTTAACATGGGTAGAATTAGTAAGGAAGGATATAATAACATGTGGTTTGATTGAGGTTATGGGCTTAGATAGAGCGGAATGGAAGAACAAGATTCATGAAACCCGCTCCGAGTAGTTGTGAAAAGGCTTTGACCCCCGTTTGGTAATCGTTTTTGTTTCTTGTTTCTTGTTAAGCTTAAACATAATTGGTGTTTATGTGATGTTGTTTATTGATAAATACAGACGGTGTTTGATAGTGTAAAAATGTCGGGCTTATATTTAAAACAATAAACAGAGAACATTGTTTGTTAGCCTTAAACTGTTTTAAAAAAATCCACCAAATTAAACTTGTTTGATGACCTATAAAATTTGTAAAAAATTGCAATGTATTCTTTTATTAAAGAGGCGCTAATATGAAACTAACCCTGATATATATATATATATATATATATATATATATATGAAACTTACAATCAGTCTATAAGCATGATATATCTTGCATCTACAAATTCAGCGTGGACACACCTCTCTCTCTCTCTCTCTCTCTTTCTCAGGTTGAAACATCATCATGAGTCATAACATGAATAGCCTATTACCTGGGATGGAATTTATAGTGAATTCGATGACCAATCTCACTTGTTACCATGTTAAACTTTAAGGCTTAGAGTAATGAATAATATTTATAAACTTTAGGAACTTGCCTTGTAGAATTGTTGTAACAACAACAACAAGAAGCATACAAGATTCAATACTTGGTTTGTTTTAATCTAACCACAACACCAATGTTTAGTACATTGTGGGACAGTTTCTTCTATAGGACAGTATCATTCGTTGTATATATATATTTGTGTGTGTGACCTATTAACAAGACTTCACGCTCCAGGAGATTGTTTATGTATTATAATGAAATAGCTGAATTATACTGCTGGACCCATGCATAAGTTCCCAACAACTTGAATGCCAAACTAGCTATCTGCAAGTCAATTGATGATAATAAATTCATGAAGAATATTTTCCTTTCATGTGATTAAATGATACACTGCCTTTTAACGAACTCCGTGATATTAAAAAATCCTGAACTATAGATGATATTCATCACTCAGCTTGATCACAAATCATAGTTGATGGGAATAGGTACTACCGTAGTGACTCAACTATCTACGATTCAGTAGACAACAAAGTAACGAGTCTAGTGATCAGGTCATGCCAATTAGGGGCAACATGTAAAGATCATCACCTAGTCAGCAGGTGTTATATAGCCTATTTCAGATTGTACTCCACAAAAAAATCAGCTGAAGTCCTTCATCCAGATGCAGTAAACATATTCATAATTCTATTGTCCCATCTTCGATACTTTCACTCAACTCTATATTATCACCTTATTCTTCCACCTCAAAACCTGCAACTGGTTTTTATAAGCCTCCAGCTGAAGACTAACATGAATATGAATTGTTCTAGCAATGACTAATCCCCCACCCTTGTAACATTATAGCAATACTTTCACATGAATATGAACATTTAGCAAAAGATTCACATGGCATGCAAATTCAGCAATCTTTAATCCCCCACCCCGGTAAGCCTCCATCTGTTGTTATATATGAATAAAAAGTTATTTATCTCCTTCTCTCCCTCTCCCTCTCCCTCTCTCTCTCTCCCTCTCTCTCTCTCTCTCTCTCTATGTATATTATATTTGATAGTTTAATGAAGATCTTTAGAAAAAGTGTCTTTTTGGTCCCAAATTCAACTAACATTGCTGGTGTAAGACAGAAAAGACAAATTTCCTATGCTTGATTGTGTAGAAATGAAGCAAAAAAAATAGAAAATAAAATACAATAGCCATTTAGAATGAGAGTATATGTATTGATATACTTTAATAAGTAGCGGTAAACCCAATTCAGGCCACCTAAAGTGTTATGCTTTATAAAATCCAACCCTCAAGAGGTAACTAGTGCAGAAATCGGTAGAACAAGCAAAACAATTGAAGAATGGAATAAATAGATTGAAGAATCATCAGTAAAACAAGCAGGTTCTCTATGAAGTAATGGATTTGACATAAAAATTGAACTCAAAATTAAACCTTCAAGATTCAACTAAAAATTGAAAAGATTTGACCTAGAACAGAAATCAATGGCAAACCTAGCTTAAAAATATCGAAAATGAGATAATATTACCTTGTGGTGAGAGAAAAATGATGAACAGGTGGTTCTCGCTGTTGGAGGAGGTCGTGGTGGATGGTGGAGATCGGCTTTAGGGAAGGAACAGTAAAGCGTCGCTGGGTATTGCGGAGGAGGAGAGAGAGATGAGCAGCTTCTTCTCGCTGATGGAGGAGCTCGCGGTGGATGATGGATGAGATTGGCAGCTCTGCAGGATCGCTGGTGGAGGTCGTCTATGGATGATGGGTATTAGGGTTTGTGAATGAGATTTTTTTGGCTTTCGTTTGGCATAGGGTTGCTACAATATATTATTTTCCTGCAACAGTGAAGTCCTCCCGCATCTGCTACTGTGAGTCTACAAACATAAACGCTACTAACATCGTTTCGGTGTTCAGAAAATGAGTGTTTGAATTATCTATAAACAAAACAAATATTAAAAAACATGTTTTTTCTCGGGCTCTATTGAAATAAACAATAAACACTAAATGTAAATGGTTACCAAACGGGCCCTTTGTTTTTATTGTTGTTGTCTTGTTGGTTAACAGTAGAAAATGGGGAATTAAGCCTTTGCATATTAGAAATCTGTAATATGGAGATTGAAGTATAAGAGGATTTTAAGTGGGAGCTTGGTTGACGGTTTAATTACTTATGCATACATTTGGTACCGTGACTAACTTCACTTTAGATGAGTTATAATAATAAAGAAATCAATAATTCCTAAGCGGGTTGGGGAATGCAGCAAAAGTCTTATCAGTGCTATCTAAATGTCCATCTTGAATCACATTTGATTTTGTCATTAAATTACAATAATAATATAGCAAACTCACATTTACTATCTTTTGGAAAGGTCTAACTGAGGTTTTACGACATTCCTTCAGTGAAACAATTGGAGGCTGTCTTTCTGACAGAAGTTGACATTGCTGGGGACAAGTCTCGAATGACTTCTGCTTCTCTCCTAAAGGGTTGCTGGATTCAAGCTACTAAAGAGGTGGGTATTGATATTCTTGATCATGGAATTGTGGAATATCAGAAGTGGTTCGAGGATCAGCCAGTTCACTCAGAAGGGGAATCAGAATGTAAAACCATATTATCTGCCGAGACTTCATTAATCGATTCCATGAGGATTGGGAATCAGATTCTCAGAGCAAGAACAGGGGATCAATCAGGTGTCATTGTAGTTACTGGATCTCTGCATATTGTCTCAATGGTGTTGGGCTCTATCTCTAAAGGGTAAATAGCTGTTAACCATGAACCTATTTGTACTTTTCTGACCCCTTTTTCACCAGGGAAATTAGGTTTTGTGGTTGTCACTGCCTTTCTGCTTGAGTATTACATTTTTATTATATTTCTTTAATATGTAAAAGCAGGAAATTTCATTACCATAAACTATTCCTAGAGTGAGGACCTGACTCCAAAGGTTGTTTATTTGGTAAATTTTTAGGGTTCACTTTTCACTGGTTCGGGATTAGGAGGGTGAAGGATCTCTCTTTCATTTGGGTCCCCATGGTTCCCACAAGTGACAAATTCCCTGTCTGAACTGTTTTGATGATCATTGTTGGATACCCACCAACTAGACACCACTCATTGGGAGTTGAAGGTGTAACATCTTTATATAGGAATAGATATTGGGTGCGGCACGTTATGTCATTAGTGTGCTCATTCAATAAAATTTAACATATTATCTCGTTATCAATTTTAAGAGTAGGAACACCAACTTTTTTTAAAATAGATATCTACTCCTTTCTATAGATTCCAATCGGGTTATAGTTTTTAGCATTGGTCCGCATTATTAGGCTCATAACCAACAAATTAATTCACTAGTCAGAATGGGTGCAGACAAGGGTCAGTGAAGGTCCAGCAACAACTAGCATGATAAGAGGATCATAAAACATATCTTTTACAATTTTTAGCCTATGCATATACATGTATACATATGCATATAGATGTATATATATATATATATATATATCCACACACAGATGGACAGAACAAATATATATATATATAAGAATTAAAGGTGAAATTTTTTATTCTTTAATACAAAATACAAGAAAAAGAAGCAATTAGAAAATCTGATATCCTTTTGTACGATGCATGGATCTATCTAAAACTATGTTATTGAGCTTCACCAGATTAGATGCCAATAACAAAATCGTGGAGGGCCAAACTATATTATTATTCAATTAATTTGTAATCCAGAGCTTAATTACTAAGGGCTCGTTTGGTAACTACTCTTACATTGTGCTTTTGTTTTGACCCGAAGCGAAAGTAGTGTTTATGCTTTAGAGTGTGTTCAATATTATTTTGAAGCTTACTTGGTAACGTAAATTTGTTGCAAGATTTTTAAAATAAAAAAAATGAAAACATTTTTGATAAAAAGTGTTGCAAGTTTTAAAAAATTAAATGGATAGTTAAAAATGACATTTTAGATTTTTTTTTTTCTTGGTTTTGTTTTGAACAGTGCTTTTGTGGAAGCAATCAAAAGTATCATTTTCATGCTTCTTATTTTGGCCTATTTTTTGAAAACGCATCAGTACTATTCAAATGATAGCAAACATTATCAACATGGTTTGTGCTTCTGATTTGTAACAATACACTAACAAAAGTAAAGTAAAAAAATACAAAGTAAAAATAATTATAAAGGGACCTAAGCTTGCGAGAGTTTCTACTTCAAGACTTACAGCATCTATTGTCACGACAAGCTTGGCATTCAAGCTCCACTTGTGCTACACTCTAATCCAAATTACACGTGTGAATTGTGATGAGTGAATGACAGTATCAAAATAGAATTTTCAGGAAAGAGAATTATTTTTGTATATTATTATTGAAATAAAAAATATAATAAAAAGTTTAAAACAGATTGTAATTGTTCATACGTCATGGGGATTTTAGGTTTGTAATAAAAAAAAATTAAATATTTTAGGTTTGTGTTATCTGAAATATAATACGTCATGGGGATTTTCTATTTGTAACCTTGATTGTTCATTTTTGACCTCAATCTCTAAACTTTTTTATTATATTATCTGAACCACGCTTTTGCTGTAGTAAGGAAAATATCATTTTCATGCTTTCAATTTTAGCTTCTTTTAAAAAATGCACCAGGACTATTCAAATGACAACAACATTACTAAACATGCTTCGTACTTTTACTTTGTTACAATGCACTAACCAAAAAAAAAAGAAAAAAACACAAAAAAAAAAACCAAAGGGGCCTAAAGCTTTCAAGAGTTTCTACTTCATGCTTTTACTGCATCTATTGTCATGCCAAGCTTAGCAATCAAGCCCACTTGGGGTACACACTAATCCAAATGAGGCTTACATGTATACGCTAATAAAATACACATGTGATGTGTGAATGACAGTGTGTGTATAAAATTTTCAGGAGTCTATTAGTAAGAGAATTATTTTTATATATTTATTGAAATAAAAAATATTACAAAAAATTTAAAATAGATTGTAATTATAAAAAATAATTAAATATTTTAGGTTTGTGTTATCTAAAATATAATATGTCATGGGATTTTCTATTTGCTCATTTTTTATTTATTTATTTTTTTGGTTGGCACCAGAAATTCCTCTAGGTAGGGCCCTTTTGGGACACACTCTAGGCTACAAACCTGAGGATGCTGTCCAGGGGCGGAGACAGGATTGCAAAGTAAGGGGGGCTAAAAATAATTAGACCCATGATTGTGCCATCCATGTTCTAAATACGGAATTCTCATGCATCAGTCATTCAATTAAATCCATTAATTTACAACATTCTAACACATTTACACTTCCAAACTCTAACGTATTTTCACAGTCAAGAATCTAATGAAGTTTGCTTCATACAAATATTAAAACAAATGCCTGCAATGATGCAAAATATATATGTTCCTTATCAACAAACTCACATTAGAAAGTAAAACATATGTGCTCCGCTCTTGACTAGTTATTAATTCATTATATAGTAAATTACCCAATTTAACAATAAATCATCAAGTCATCAACACAGCCCTTTTTTTATTATTTTTTATTACAAAAAAATAAAATCAACATTTCACTGGATTAACAACAATAATCCATGATATCCATTCACTTATACCTTAGTGCCTTACACGAAGAGTATAGGTCTTCTTCCATAGACTAACAATGTGTTTGATTTATTGGGTTGGTCCCTGTTATATTTTATTATGATTTCTTTTATGATTGGGTATGTGCATGGTTCGTAAACTTGCTCATATTTAAGGCTTAGCCTTTGTAAATTTTATAACTCCTTTTATTTATAGAAATATTATGGATTGGGCTGAGTTGATAGGAAGAGAGAGAGTAATATATGAGCTTATAGGAACAATAGTACTACATTTTTTTTTTTCAATTGGACATGTGCTATAGCCCAGGTTAGCCTATTACTAGTTCCTCCATTGATGTTGTCGACGGCCCCACATCTTAGCACCAATTTCAATCCGGAAATATAATGAGATTGGATAGGCTCAAATCTGGGACATATGGTATTACAGGTCGTTGCCTTACCAACTCTACCAAGTCCTTACGGGCTCTATTTGTTCATTCTTGACCACAATCTCTAAACTTTTTTATTATACTATCTGAAATATAATATGTCATAAACTTCTAATTGAATTAATCACCGGAAAAGTAATTCGAATTGAATTAATTACTGAAAAAAAAAAAACACTTTGAATTGAATTGAGGTGTAAAGGGTTGGAGCCGCACCTAGATGAGCCCCAACATTCAAAGTGTAGGATGGTTACATGACATTAAAGTGGGACCCAGAGATCTCTTTGGTAATCTAAGGTGGTGGGTCCCATTTCAGAGGCATGCAACAATCATCCGATCCCAAGTCGCAATCTCCACTTACTCCCGGATTTTCTGTCTTCATATCATATGAACATCATGTACCAACATGTAATGATATATATGTGTATATACATGTATAGAATTAGAATTTACGTTAGACTCGTATATTTCGTGGTAGAACTAAATGACGTGCAGATTGTAAAAAATGAATGGAGTTTGAGGGGACCCACTTATTAATTCTTATCCCCGTTTTAAAATTTTGTCTTTCACACACTTATATTGTATACATATTATATATGTGTGAGAGTATGGCTTGAAATTTTATGATTACATATTTTTTAAAGAAAATAAATAAAAACGACCCAAGTGTCACGGGCTTAGAGTTTCAGTACCACTCTAGCTGCTCCCGTGTGGCACCAAGACGTTGCTTTCACTCTCGCAAGTACTTGGTCAGCCTAACTCCCGTGCACACCTTAGCCAACACACTCCCCTCGTGCGCTTACTAGTGTTGTAGTTGCCCTCGTCCTCTCCTCACCTGGCTTGCACACTCACACACACTAAGGCACTTAAGTTGGCAAGGAAAGAACACTTCTATTACTTCAAAGAATGCTTTGTACAAGGCTAGCACTCAAGCTCTCTACAAGGCTCTCAAGACTCACTCTAGGACTTGTTCCCTACAAAATGAAGTCCTACCTCTATTTATAGGCATCCCCATCCCTAATGGACGGCTAGGATGCATTCTAACCAACGGTGGAGATTGATTATCTAGAATCTTCTCCCACCTTCTTCACACTTCCATACTTATCTACTAGTATCTACAACATTCTAGAATTCTCCATACTACTCCACACAACTCTGGAGAACTCTAGAACCTTCCACACACTTCTACACATTTCTACACATATCTAGAAACTTCCACATAACTCTAGACTATTCCGGAAGACTCTAGAAACTCCACTTGCCATGCAGTTGCCATGCAGCGTCCTCCTCAGCGTCTGCGTGTCGCCTGCGTGGCACAACCTCCATAGGCGGGGCGTGACATTCTCCCCCACCCATTTCCGTGACGCCCTCGTCACGGTTTCTTCAGCTGACCCAGCCTCTCGCAGGTCATCAGCACTTGCGCATATGTCCTTGGCCCAAACGTACGAGCGCCCTTCGGGAGATGTGAAGTCCTCACGAGCTCCATCGTGTTGACTGCCACCTCTGGACTCTCCTTCCTGCCCACGAGCGGCACCATGCATGCGGCCTTGCCTTCCTCGCCTCCAAGTATCATCAATGCACCAAGGCATGGTAGTGGCGCGGCGTTGTTCCTGTCCATGAACTCCAGCCCCAGCACCATGTCGTGGTCGTCCATCTCCGCAACTTGGAAGTCAGCCTTGCCCTTCCATCCTTGCATGCATAGCTCCACCTCCTTGCACACTCTACTCACGCGTGCCTCCTCGGAGTTGACGGCCTTGATCCAGCCCTCCGTCTTGCGCATCTCCAAGCCAAGTCGTTGCGCCTCCTCCGGGGTAATGAAGTTGTGTGTAGCACCCGTGTCTACCAACGCTTGCACGGCTTTGCCACCAACCTGCGCATCCACATAGCGCACC